TCAAAATCCAAACAAACTTTGAACTAGAGTCAACCAATACAATTCAACACATACCACATGAATATAAACTTGTTTTAGTGTATGCATCTCAAAGTTTTCACCAAATGCCAAATGCTTTGCAATGCATATGATGACATGTCAGGTTTTAGTATTTTAAACACCCGAGGTGTTACACAAGGGTATTAGCACTAGGGTTTGAATTCTTCATTTCCATCGAGGTGCATGCCAAGCAATTAAGCAAATGGAGGTACAATTGAAGGTTTTCATGGAGGTGACAGCAAGCTGGAAGCTCACGAGCCGATAGGCACACGTGGCAGCTGCACGCCTGGAAAAACCAGCATGTTGGCAACTAGACCGGATGCGTAGGAGTAGGTCGTGACATTTTTTCAATCTGTTTTAAGATATTGTTAATCTCGCGGTACGACGTGGTGGACCTCGAAATGGACCCGCGACCCCAATGGGTACGACATGCTCGCATTCTGAGAGTTCGTCCGAGCCGCCTACCCCCTGCCGCCGCCAGGAGCCAGCGTCGCGCTACCATGCAAGTCTGGCGGTGGCGGAACGAGGCCGCGGCTCATGCTCATCCTCCGGGGACGCACGTGGCGGTTCGTGAACGAGGGCGCGATCATGGACGCGATCGAGCACGCCGGCTTCGAGGTGGCGCACATGGATGAGGCGGCGTCCTGGGCGGACGTGGGTGGCGCGCGAGGTGGGCGCGTGCGGCGTGCTTTCGTAGCGCGCGCGCGCGCGCCGGGCTGACCAACATGGTGTTCTGCGCTGCGGGCGCGCGTGGCGGTACTGGTCATCCGTGGGGAAGATGGAGCCCTCTTTGGAAGGGTTCCTCGATGCCCCGCCGACGCACATGGGGCTCGCCACGTCGCGTCTGGCGTCGCCACGGGGAAGCACGCTGTCACGATAGGTCTGGCGAGGACCACCAAAGTGATCGCCGACCCAGCGTGTTCTACTGAGAACGGCAGCAACGCGAGCAGTTCTCTGGCGGGAGCAGAACATCCGGCTCAACACCACCGAGTTCGCGCCGACACGCTGCAGATGGTGAAGCGGATCTTTGCGAGTGACCTCATTACACATGCACACTCTTAATGCACTAAGCACACGCGCACACGCATCATTACATTTGCGGTTTTGTTCCCCGCAAAACATCTTAGTAATATATCTCTTAAAAATGTATGGATATTATCCACTCCGTTATTCAGATAAGTTTTAGAGTCATGATTTTCTTTTTGAGAATTTAGAGTCATGATTTTCGGCCTACTACTCGACCCAACCCCCCGCCCCCCAAAAAAAATTCCAATAAATAGCCTGATTCAACCTGACAATGTGTTGGGCCAGGCTTGAGCCAAAGATTTTGACGTGACATTTTTTCTCGGTCTGATCCAAACCCGACCCAACCCTGCATTTGATCAGATCCAACTGGATCAGCAAGAAAAAGTCAATTTGAAGTCTGTGGTACCCAAAATTGACAGCATACAAGCATTAACTAGGAGTAGTTTGCTGATACGATTTGCTTGTTGGTTGCATCACTGTTAGGAATCTTTGAATCGGTTTGGTGTACTTGGCTCAAGTAGGCATCACCACTGGCATCACTGTCATAGGTGGTGGAGCTCTTATGTAATGACAAATGCAAGCCAGGAAGAGCCAAGGGTATTAGCACTAGGGTTTGAATCCTTCATTTCCATCGAGGTGCATGCCAAGCAATTAAGCAAATGGAGGTATAATTGATGGTTTTCATGGAGGTGACAGCAAACTGGAAGCTCATGAGCCGATAGGCACACGTGGCAGCGGCTCACATGGGGCTCACCAGCCGATAGGCACACGTGGCAGCTGCATGCCTGGAAAAACCAGCATGTCGGCAACTGGATGGCCAACAGGTCTAGTCAACCCGTGGGAGGCCGACAGGTACCCCAGCAAAAAGGTGGCTGCAGGCAGGAGCCTATCGTTGTGTGGGTGTTGTCTACTGTTGCTGCTGGTCGGTTGCCGACTGGATATCGCTCGGGATTTAGGTACATGTTTTTTAACAAAATATTGGTACTTGTAATTTTTTTTCCTTCGCTCGAACTGACTGTTATACCAACGTGATGGGATAAAAAAAAACAGACCACCCACTTTTATTAAAGCCGATAAACAGAGATCTTTTAATCTATACTAGGATCATGCATGTATGTTGCAACAAAAATAATAATATCACGATAATTCGAGCTCGAACATGTATTGTACTTTCAAAAACGATACTTTGAGTATGATATTCAAACATGCTGCTTGTAGTCAACCATTGGTATGCCGACGAGCTGCTACATGTCAAGTTTTTTTATAACAGCTTCTAAATTTGCATTCAATCATTAAAAAATATTATTTAAAGAAAAACACGTCGTCCGTCCCGTGTTGTGGTGGCGTGGTGGGCAGGGCAGGTCGTGGAGTCCGGCGTGGGTACCGGTGGCCACAACACTAGACCGGATGCGTAGGCGTAGGTCGTGACTTTTTTTCAATCTTTTTTAAGATATTGTTAATCTCGCGGTACGACGTGGTGGACCTCGACGCGGACGGCGACATCGTGCGGTGCTACGCCCACCTCGTCGTCGGCCTTCGCGGCCACCACCGCGACTTCGACATCGACCCAGCGCGCCCCCCGAATGGGTATGACATGCTCGCGTTCCACGAGTTCGTCCGAGCCGCCTACCCCCCGCCGTCGCCAAGAGCCAGCGTCGCGCTACCATGCAAGTCTGGCGGCAGCGGAACGAGGTCGCGGCTCATGCTCATCCTCCGGGGACGCACGGGGTGGTTCGTGAACGAGGGCGCAATCATGGACGCGATCGAGCGCGCCGGCTTCGAGGTGGCACGCATGGATGAGGCGGCGTCCTGGGCGGACGTGGGCGCGGTGGCGCGCGAGGTGGACGCGTGCGACGTGGTCATGGGCGCGCACGGCGCCGGGCTGACCAACATGGTGTTCCTGCGCGCGGGCGCCGTGGTGGTGCAGGTCATCCCGTGGGGGAAGATTGAGCCCTACGGGGAAGGGTTCTTCGGTGCCCCAGCGACGCACATGGGGCTCCGCCACGTCGCGTACAGCATCGCCGCCGAGGATAGCTCGCTGTACGACTGGTACGGCAAGGACCACCCGGTGATCGCCGACCCCGACGTGTTCTACAAGAACGGCAGCAACGCGAAGTTCTACTAGCGGGAGCAGAACATCCGGCTCAACACCACCAGGTTCGCGCCGACGCTGCAGATGGTGAAGCGGATGCTGCGCGAGTGACCCTGTTACACATACTGACTCTTAATGCACTAAGCACACTGCACACGCATCATTACATTTGTAGTTTTGTACCCCAAAACATCTTAGTAATATATCTCTTAAAAAATGTATGGATATTATCCACTCCATTATTCAGATAAGTTTTAGAGTCATGATTTTCTTTTTGAGAATTTAGAGTCACGATTTTTGGCCTATGACTTGACCCAACCCGCCCCCCCCCCCAAAAAAAACATCCAATAAATAGCCTGATTCAACCTGACAATGTGTTGGGCCAGGCTTGAGCCAAAGATTTTGACGTGACATTTTTTCTCGGTCTAATCCAAACCCGACCCAACCCTGCATTTGATCAGATCCAACTGGATCAGCAAGAAAGAGTCAATTTGAAGTTTGTGGTACCCAAAATTGACAGCATACAAGCATTAGTTTGGAGTAGTTTGCTGATACGATTTGCTTGTTGGTTGCATCACTGTTAGGAATCTTTGAATCGGTTTGGTGTACTTGGCTCAAGTAGGCATCACCACCGGCATCACTGTCATAGGTGGTGGAGCTCTTATGTAATGACAAATGCAAGCCAGGAAGAGCCAAGGGTATTAGCACTAGGGTTTGAATTCTTCATTTCCATCGAGGTGGATGCCAAGCAATTAAGCAAATGGAGGTACAATTGATGGTTTTCATGGAGGTGACAGCAAACTGGAAGCTCACGAGCCGATAGGCACATGTGGCCGCTGCACGCCTGAAAAAACCAGCATCTCGGTAACTAGAGGGCCGACAGGTTTAGTCGGCCCTTTGGAGGCCGACAGGGTACCTCAGCTATCGTTGTGTGGGTGTCGTCTACTGTTGCTGCTGGCCGGTTGCCGACTGGATCTCGCCCAGGATTTAGGTACATGTTTTTTTAACAAAATATTGGTACTTGTAATTTGTTTTCCTTCGCTCGAACTGACTGTTATACCAACGTGATGGATTAAAAAAAATAACAGACCACCCACTTTTATTAAAGCCGATAAACAGAGATCTTTTAATCTATACTAGGATCATGCATGTATGTTGCAACAAAAAATAATATCACGATAAATCGAGCTCGAACATATATTGTACTTAAAAAAACGATACTTTGAGTATGATATTCAAACATTCTGCTTGTAGTCAACCATCGGTATGCCGACAAGCTGCTACATGTCAAGTTTTTTTATAACAGCTTCTAAATTTGCATTCAATCATTAAAAAATATTATTTAAAGGAAAATACTTCGTCCATCCCATGTGGTGGCGTGGTGGGCTGGGCAGGTCATGGCGTCTAGCGTGGGTACCGGTGGCCACAACACTAGACCTGATGCGTAGGCGTAGGTCGTGACTTTTGCAGTGTGATGCCGTGTGGATGTGGTTGCCCACGCACGCCCCGATGCAGTGCAGACGTGCCCTGACTTGGCACCTGATGGATATCCGCGCATGCAGTCCTCTCCTCCCGTCAGACGATATGATGGATGACACCAACAGCAATGCAATGGGATCGGCAGCTGAGACGTCGGTCGGAGCGAGCAATACCAATACACGCTGAGAGGTTTGCGTGGCATGGCAACGAATGATTGGAAGGGGGGATTTTTCTGCAGAAAGAAGGAAGCTGCTACGCGTGTCCAGGTTCTAGTTAGAATTGTGTTTTTTTCTGGACGGAGGTAGTAGAACTAGAGTGGCACAAAGCAAAGAGGATTGCAAGTGTGATTTTTTTTCTGAAAAAGATGCACGAGAGGTTTGCCGGCGTCTTTGTCGCGGCGGTGATCTTTCTCTTGGCACAAACGGTGAGCCGATCTTATATACGAATTACACGTGCCAAACCTACAGTTTGGTTCTCACTCACGGTCACGGACTTGTTTTGCGTTGTCGTCGAAGCTAGCTCTCTTGCGGGGCTCGTCGGGAGACGGCGGTGCAGGTTCGCCGGCGGCGGGGGAGGAGACGAGTTCATCATGCATGACACCGCACACAAGTCTCGGTATTCGTTTCTTCCCAATTCACCATCTAAAGATCGATCGCTGGCAAATTTGACCCAACATTTTGCAGCCGATAGGACAGCAGAACCTCCGGTGTTCACATAGCAGGCCCAGAAAAAAGATGCCACTCTCCATATGCACGTCTCACCAGCAAGTTCATCTTCCTAGGCATTACAGCTAATTTTCTCAGTTTTTTTCCTCCGTTTGCAGGTGAAGAAATTGCACCGGCGACGGCGATGGTAACCTCTGTTGCGCAAGTGCATCCTCCTCTGGAGCCGATCTGCGACCTCTCCGACCGGCGCTACGACGGGTGCGAGATGTGGGGCGACGCGCGCACGGCGAGTGGCGCCAACAATTCGGTGGTCTACTTCATCCCGCCGCCGCCGCAGCTGGCCACCGCGGCGGCGGCCACCTGGAGCATCCGCTCCCAGTCCCGCAAGATCGTCGACGTCCGCGAGGTGACCGTCCGGTCCCTGGACGCGTCCAGCCTCCACGAGGCGCCCCGCTGCACGGTCCGCCGGGGCGTGCCGTCCGTGGTGTTCGCGCTCGGCGGCCTAACGTCCAACTACTGGCACGCCTTCAGCGACGTGCTGGTGCCGCTCTTCACGACGGCGCGGGCCTTCGGGGGGCGACGTTGAGCTCCTCGCCACCGGCGCCGGCGCCCAGGCCTGGTTCCTCGGCAAGTACGGCCGCGTCTTCCGCGCGCTCTCGCGGTACGACGTGGTGGACCTCGACGCGGACGACGACGTCGTGCGGTGCTACGCACACCTCGTCGTCGGCCTCCGCGGCCACCACCGCGACTTCGACATCGACCCAGCGCGCGCCCCGAATGGGTACGACATGCTCGCGTTCCGCGAGTTCGTCCGAGCCGCCTACCCCCTGCCGCCGCCAGGAGCCAGCGTCGCGCTACCGTGCAAGTCTGGCGGCGGCGGAACGAGGCCGCGGCTCATGCTCATCCTCCGGGGACGCACGCGGCGGTTCGTGAACGAGGGCGCGATCATGGACGCGATCGAGCGCGCCGGCTTCGAGGTGGCGCGCATGGATGAGGCGACGTCCTGGGCGGACGTGGGCGTGGTGGCGCGCGAGGTGGACGCGTGCGACGTGCTCGTGGGCGCGCACGGCGCCGGGCTGACCAACATGGTGTTCCTGCGCGCGGGAGCCGTGGTGGTGCAGGTCATCCCGTGGGTTTTCAAATTTACTTCTCATTTTAGTTAATGAAGTTTCAGTCCATTACAATATTTGTTTGTTGGTAGTTTGCTAACTTTGATGAGTGTTTGTGTCGCATTGCTGCGTGTCCCTTGAGACTTCTTCTAGGCTTAGCCATTTTTCAAGATATTGCCATGAACTCTCTTTCATTCTGTCTACTATTGAATGACAGCAATAGTATCTAACTATATTTGTCAAAAGCTACCTTTTCACATGTACCACACTTGACAACCTAGTGCAGCATAGTTAAACCAAACAGAGATTAAACTGGTTTTTATTTTTTCTTTATGTATATTAACCTTAATAAATCCTATAGTGTATTTGATTTTGTCTTCTCAGGTATAATCGGGGATGGTTTTACCATAAAGAAGTGCGCTTATGGTTCACAAGAACTGCAAATGTGGAACCTCTAGTCAAAACTCACTTCTATGAACGTGGATCTTACCTTTGCTTTGATCCAGAGATCTGGGATTCAGTCCGTAAGGTTTGGTCCTGTTGACCTATATACTGGAAAAAATATGTGGCATCTCTTGTACACTTGAAAGTTACATTATCCTGTGTTTACTGCAGGACAACTTTGTTCTCCACTATGAGCTGGTAGAGAAAAGGCCAGCCCTGCCTTCAATAGCACAAAACGTTAGATGAAAAGAAAATCTGGGTAAGACTCTTCCCAGTAATCTAGTTTTATTTGATCTTCCTTCTGTAGTAGCCAATGATTCCATTGTTATTTTCAATGCAATATTTAATTTCATCAGGTACCTCCTTAGTCCTGACTCATATTTTCCCTGTTGGATGGGACTAAGAAGTTCATATTCACATTATGCCATCATTGCCTAACTTTTAAGGTAGGTATTTTTTGTCAGACAAATACTACTTGCAATGCTGTTTGGACTGCAGTTCATTGTTGCAGATTTGGTGAGATCTAAGGTGACTTGGATCCTGCAAATCCCAGGGTCGTGTATTTATTTGGGTTTAGTTTTGCTTTGGGGATTTAGCACTGGGGGTGAGGACGTACCTGATTCAGGCATGTTTGGAGGTGACCTGAGAGGGAGGCTGGCTTGGTAAAGTTGGTGGTGTCATGGCAATGTGGACGCTGTCCGCTGCGGTGTGGTGGGGTCTAGGGGCAATTGATGGGTGTTCTCGTTGAGGATGGGTTAGCTGATAGCGGATTTGACAGCATGAAATCGCATGAGAGGGAGGAGGGCAGAGCAGCGAAGCCCTGCTTCTGAAGGCGGCGGTCGTGATGGCCTCGGGAGGGCGAGGGAATCGGGTGTGGCATTGAGATGGACAGTCAGATTAAGAGAGAAAATCTGGCTGATCAATCCAACGGGTATGAGAAGTAGTCCTTTAGAAAGGAAATTGGGCTTCAACAGAACCTTGCTCTGCATTACTTTTTTTTTCTTTCTTAAAAGGTGCGGTATCAAGTGGTATCTTATTTCACAAATAAGGGATCAGGATGCATTTGGTTTTGTGTTTCCTATTAAAAGATACAGCGTCCAGTGCCATATTGTTTCGCAAAAAAGATTGTGATTTATTCCCATTATGTGTAAACAAACTTAATAATGCATTGCAATGTATCCAATCATGATTTATCCATTGTTTTTTAGATAAGTGAGCTGATTGTAGTTAATTTTGCTGTAATTTGAGCATAACTTCTGCCCTGGTTTCACATGGGCAGGACTAGGAGAGAAACTCAGAAACATCTAACGATCTGCAGGGAGGAGGAAGCTGCAGAACAGAAGTGGGGAATGTCCAGTTGACACCCCTTGTAATTATACTAAAACAGTGGGAGCGAATGTTTGCATTTTCCTTCTATCGTGGGGAGTGTGCACTCCCCCTTAAAACTGCCTAATGTTCAGGATTAGTTTCTCTGCACAGTTACCTCCCCAGCTTCAAATGACAACGCATAGCTGGTTTTAATGTCTTACCCTCTGTAGACTGTCGAATCATATCATGTCGAGGCTTCAGCGAAAGATAAACTGTCTTGTGGTAGAACTGTAGTATCCTAAGGAGGTTTTGGGGAGCGGCGTGCACACTTAGCGTCACTGTGTGCACATCCCGCCACATCGTCGAGTGTTCGAGTAGGACTACTTGCGAACAGGCGAAGATGTCTCGTCGTTGCCTTGCAGCTTGTTTTAACTAGTATGAGGGCGCGCGCCTTCGCGCGCCCGTACAGCAGTATCTGGGAGCCACTACATATCTTCCGGATGATTTTTTCAGTCCATTAATCAGCTTTATTTCCAATCATTACATGATGCCTAGTTTCCTGAAAGCAGAGCAAAATCTGGTAGATAAAGGAAGGCAATTACACCCAGATTTTACCGAAAAATAAAACAATAAAGAGTGAATGAAATTACAACAATCGACAACCAGATCTAATCAAATATGTGACCTCCTCACGTGTAGCAACAATTCCACCATCAGCTTTACATGTGCAGCAGAGAGAAAATCTTGCAAAAAATAAGTAAATACTCATTTGACTAAAAGAGATACAAATGAAATGAAAGATAGAATAATCAACATTAATGGAAAATACATTGTTATGGTCACGCTGATGTTCAAGTTCACGTGATGAGCTCCATCTAAATTTGATATTAAAAAAATCATACAGTTACAATTTGCAAAAGCTACCATACTGACAAAACCGAGATGCCAATTACTAAAACTATTTACCTATGTACACAAAGAATTAGAGATCAAAAGTACTGAAAAACTAACATGCCGAGATAGCTCCTTCCATTTTTTCTGAACCTACTCACCTGAATACTTGTTCTAGCTGCTAATCAAGAAAACCGGTTTGATGCACTGCTGACAGACAGAGAATAGTGAAACTGAGTATAGGCAATCTAATATTAATAAAGCAGAATTTGTGCTGACACAAAAATATTGAAACACTGACACTCAAAAAACATAATAGAGTATTCACTATTGCATGAAAGTGACCTTCACAATTTTAAGCATCCTGATGCACCATTCCAACTGCATCACAGTACTCTGACTATTTTACTTCTATTTAGTTACTGAACAGAGTTTTTGAAAGCTGAACCAAACTGTAAGTACAGAACACAAAAAAAACTGGTAGGCAGAGGTTCAAACCTCTTAGCTGCAGTTAGTCACGGCAAAGGGAAAAGAAACCAGTTGCAACCAAATCAAAGGATTTGACTAATATTGCTGTTCTTCTTACCTAAAAGACGGGAAGCAGCTAACATGGCCATGAAACCGGTACACCCCAACGCAAAAAATAAGAATGAACTCAAAACTTATTAACTGAAACTAATAGCAGCATTTATCTTGCCTGAACTAATAGGAACATTAACTGTAGCATGAAAGGGATATCAAATGTTTCTCTATAGAGTCAATCTTACAAAAAAAGAATCAGTGTACAACTCTAAGTAGGAATCAACTCTAAGCTGTCGTTATCCTCGTGACCTGTTTTTTTGTTGTTTTGGCTCCCCTCATGACCTGTTTTTTTATTGTTTTGGTCCCTACTCATGTGTGTGTACAAATATCTGTCTTAGTAGTTAAGATGAGAAGCAACTTCGCTGGGAAGCCGCTTCAACAAATCTTTTTGAACCTAGCCTAAAAATATTAGACTTTGCCTTAGGCGCAAAGACAAAATCGTGAAGACTCATTTGGATGGGGTACATAAAAATGTTAGGATGGATGTTTCTTTTGTTAAAAAGGAAAAGCTATTTTTCTTATAGCGCAAAGAACCTTCCTTATTCAGAACGTCCCCTGTTGATATAATAAGATTAAGGCTATGAAAGCCAACAATGACAGGTATGATATACATACGAAAATGTTTGGGCTATGTCTACATGAATTGTGCTACTTGAGCAGAGACCAAAATTGGAAGCCTCATCATTTTAATATAGCATTCCACTATGGTTAGTTTATAAAAAAAGAGCATCATCAATGAGGCTAAATCATTTTGTGAAACACAGTTGGTGGTTGGTGAAAGAATTCAAAGGAGAATACGTAGCATATTTTTTTAGTGTGATAGGTTGCATGGAAGTCTCTAAATAACCAATTTCAGATTTGAGCGACGATCTAAAATAAAGGGAACTAACTAAAAAAATAGATGTGAAGCATGTATTTTACCTTCGCAGGCTTACATCTTGAGGTCGAGTGATCCAAGCGATCCAGAGCAATGATGATTCACTTCTTTAGCATTTGAATAGAATTAGAGTTTTCGTAGTCTTTTTGACAGGAAAATGAAAGCACGTTCTCAAGTGATATATTGTGCACTCACAGATTGCATAAATCTGTTAGTTTGTGATAGAGCGCAGGTCTAAGCATTGGAGTAATAATCATATTAGACTCCAACAGGTGATAATATTTTTTATCATAACCTGCTGATGCAATGCAACTTATACGCAACAATCTTATGCGATGACCATAAAGGAAATTACCTATCGGTTGGCAAAATTATGCGAGCAGAGATCCTTTCCAAGCATTACATATAGCTTCTTACGAGTTTACGTACATAATAGAAACAAATATGCAGAGGATAATAATCACTATCGAGTATAGTAACTTTTAGTTGGTCAAAGTCTTCGTATGGATTAATTGCTGAAATTACATTCTCACTAATACCAACATTTAAGAATAAGAAAATAATGAGAGAACTTGCAAATGTCTCTTAACAATCAGATGCCACCAATAATGAAAATTAACTATTGACCGAGCTAATTTAGAATAACACTAAAATTGTATGTTTGGAACTATTTATTGGCCCAGGTCCATTTTTATGTGCTACATTGTTGTATTTGTAAGCTTTCTTTCTACAAATCTTTGAAACAAATAGGCAAAAAGTTCATCAAAACCCATATATCTCTTCTCTAGGGATACTCTTCACCAACCTCAAGTAATCAAAACGAAATTTGAGTAAACAACTTGCGAGAAAACACTTGCACTTCTTTGACTTTTGAACCTTTTCAAACACCAAACACCAAAAACAATCGAGAAGGGAAGGTACCAATGTTAATTGGCGAGATCCTTCTTTTAACACATGTTTTGTCCAATGCAGGACCAAGATTTGTCCCCGACGGGTCAAAGCCTATTGCTCTTATGAATTCATCAATTACTCTCTGAGCAGTTTTGCATCCACTTTTAATCAAGCTGGTTCTAACCTGAAAGGAATGATGGCAGGTCCATTGCAATTAATAGATAGCTGACCAAGTTGACATGTGCACAACCAAAGGAAATTGAGAAGTCTATAAACATGAGCACAAGAAAAAATAAAGAACAATAATAATTGCAATAGGAAAGCATAACCTGTCTATGTAGTTTTTTTTGTTATGCAATGAGCATACAGAATGTTACCTGTTGACTATTTCTATTGTCCAAGAATAACGACAACACGCTATGGGCTGAGAGATGGATCAATATAGGACTGAATTGTAAATGTTTAATTGCGCAATACAGGTATGAAACTAAAATGGTTCATGGATCTAGTAATATCATGAATCGAAGACCTAGGAAAAAAAGTATGGGTCCTTTACTCATCCCTGACACAGCATAGCAATACAATGAAGAAAAGCGCTGACGTACATAGAAGAATCTTTAGAATAATAGACTATCCTTGGCATACACAAGGTCCTCAGAATATGTTCAATCAGCTACACAAGCATATGTCGCTTACATTTATGGTTATGGAGATCATGGTGGTCTCCTCTACTTCAGCCTTTTTGGGATTAGTTCATGACAATGGAGATCATGGTGGTCGCCTCTTCTTCAGCCTTTTTGGGATCAGTTCATGGCAACCTTCATTAGGACTCCCTTGGATAAGCGCACAAAAGGATAGAAGAAGCCTAGGAAAAGTATACACAGGTAAATCTGAAGTGGGATCCAGCAGATATTGATCAATGACAAACCATTTGTTTCGAGGCTCCAATATGTGCTGCTCCTAATGTTTGATTTGTCGATTGTTAATATCTATGGTATTTTTTTTTGTGACCGAAGAAGCTAAAGAGGAGAACGTTATTTACTAACATTACAGAATAGAGCAGTAAGTATACTTGAAGCAGTGATATTAATATACAAACACCAAGTCCACGACGAAGGTTCTAAATAGGCTGACTTTTTGCTATGTACAGAGAACCTGAGATGGTAAGGCAATGGCAGGTGTCTTTGAGTTGCAAAAGAGAACCTGAGATAGCAAGGCAACGGCAGGTGTCTTTGAGTTGCAAAATGTAACCTTACGCGTCTGGCAAAAAAATGAAGCGGCCATGCCATCTTGTTCTGTGGCACCACTCCCTGCAGGAACATAATCAATCAAGAAAAAAAAAGGGAAAGAATTTGTATCAGTTAACTGTGGCCATCCCTTTTTGTCCAAGAAAGCATAGTTTTAGCATAACTACAAAGTAAGGTTACCTATGGATATCGAACTAAGAATCAAACTGGTAGACAGGTTTTGGAATTAGAAATTAGCAATGTGAGGTAACTGCTGACTTCCTATGACAAAACAGGAGCATGCAAAGCACCAGAGGCTGAAATTTGTTTAAGGAATTTTCGCTGAATAATTCCAGCAATGGATATAATTCGGAATTAGATGGTCGCCGAGGTATCGACTGTCTCTCTGACATTTACTGTTAATTAATAGAAAACAGATTACTCTTTAGAAGAATGTAAGCATGCATAAATTTGCTCTAGCCCATAGTAGAATATGAAGTTGGCAAAATAGAACCACATATTCTCAAAAGAGCGTAGCATATGCAATAGTAATCTACACATCATACAAAGAATTTGTGGATCACTCAAAAATATTAGGTTCAACACACCAACAGGATGAACCAATATTCAGACACCACCAATACAGTAGGTTTGGCCAATTTCGTTGGATCAAACTGAAAGCTATAGTAAATCACTGTAAAGACAGATATGCAGAAGTAATTCAACGTGCACGACAATTCAATTACCAATCGAGAATAGATGGAAGCCACATCCGCGCACATTGCCCCTGGGGTCATTGGCTCCCACTACAAATCGAATAGGTGTGTAGATGATCAGTCCTTTAAATGGTTGGGCAAGTTAGTAAAAAAATTCATAGAAGCTCATATAAGGATAATTGACATAGCTGAGCCAATACTCTCTCCATAACTAAGCTGACCATGACATACATCTGACCTTTCATTATGACATTTAGGGAAACAAAATGTCGAATTTGAAGTACAGAAAATCTAATGTCGAATTGGCTCTTGGTTGGTACCAGTAAATCAGATACGATAAAATTTCGCATGGCACTGCTAATAACTTGACTGATGAGAGCACATATGTAAAATTAGGCGGTCCATAAAATACAATATTGATGTGCGGAACAAATGTGGCTCATAGGATATCCCTAACTCAATATCTTTGTAGTAGTTGAGGCTGGTCATTACCATAAGTATTACTTGCCCATGGGAAGCTAAAGCCAAATGACAGGAATAATTATTCTTTTTGGAACATTGCATATCAAGAAACTTTAACTCTGAATTTTGTGAGGAAAAATGCATGGCCATATAAACAGTTGCGTGTCCCCCAAATCTGACTAAATAAATTGGTTTCAATTCAAGAGCTAATGGATTCTTCTTAACGAAACGATACAGAGCTTTTCTGCGTTGTTTTGAGAAAAAAAAAGAGCTAACTGATTGAGCTTTGGAATGGAAGCCATCAATTCGTGTAATCAGTAACCCATTTTATTCATAAATTTTTCCATGAGAACTCTTGAATCCTCTCTTTTTCTAATCACAGAAACACAGGAAAGGGAGATGGAGGGGAAAGTAGCTAGGGGGCATCAGACAGAGACCTGGATTCAGAAGGGTTGCATTCATGGGACTGCTTGAATCATAGCTGTAGTTCCGCTCGCCAATTTGCTGCCTTGGTTGAGGGATGTGAGAAACATGAGCGTCAAAGTTTAGACATGGTAAAATGACAGGAAATTTATAAGGAAAAATATTTATCGAGTTTCTATTTTTTAATACCCAAACAACTCAACTGAGATACTACATGAAATAGAGGAGCAATATGAATTGGAGGTTACCTTGTTTGCTAAATGTGAACTGAAGCACTCCAATTATACTCTTTCCAGTCGCATTTGTTGGCCATAAAAAACAAAAGGAACTATTAGGCTAGGTAAAATTACGGATAGAAAGACTAATGGAATTAGGGATCAATATGATATATCATGTGCAACTAAATAAAATATCATGGTCGTAAGAGTGCTAACACATACGAGAGTGAAATCCATAAGCTTAGTTGAGTTGGTCTACTTTCATTGGTGTAGGTCTATATCAAGGCATACAAAACTTCACATTGTTGTTGAAGAGGCAGCCCTGATGCCAGAACTTCTGCGTGGTTCCTATTCCGAAGCAGGCAGCAAAAACACTGCTCCATATTTCTTCAAGGCTAACCAAGAACTCTAAATCAAAAGGACAACAAAAGAAACAAAGTTAGCTCAAACTGTCGAAGACCGAGATTCACTATTGGAAGTAAATTGACATGAAGAAGCATGTCTACCTCGTATCCCTAGCGAGTAGGCAAGCTAGATAGTATTTAATGAAAACACATAGGACATGGTTGGTACCATATAAGTGTAAGCTGAATGCCTTATCTAGAAAAGGAAGGAAAATAATGAAAACACATAGGACAAAATACTTTTCCATCATAAACTGAAGGCAACAAAATATATGTTGACGTACATAAATTAGAAAGGCGCAACATGTAATCTGTTTGCCCTAAGATATTTTTGGGCTGTAGGCAGCGCCACCAGGTAAAGGAACACTCTATATAAAGGGCCTTATGAAATAAGAGGCAGTCTACAACCAAGCCATAGTAGTAGAGTATTTGGACGTAGCTGGTCAATAGAAGTAGGTAGTACTCAATATAGCAACCATTGTTAAGAGAAGAAAACCTCTAGAATTTCATGGTATCTTTAAAAAAAATTATTTCGTCCTATTATCTTGTATTAAATACATCTACAAACATCAATGCATAATGGTAAAAAATATTTTATACTAACCGTACACCCCTTAACCATGGACTTTTTTTAATGAATAGTGTGGTCTTTGAATGTTGTCTCGGAAAAGGTCTGAGCACCTGGAACATTTTAGTATAAATTTGGTAAAAAATAAATAAATACAGGTTGGCTGGCTAAATAGTAAACTAAATGTGGAATTGAAACAAAATGAATAGAGAACCTGTATAAATAAAATATGTCCAAGGGAACTGCGTACCTCCTGATCGTTGCTCAAATCATTGCGCCGACACTTCGTAGCTTCATTCCTTCTGAGCTGAGCGGAACCGGGAGCTAGGTTTTCCTGTAGCAAAGATAGGTAGGGTTTGTAGAAAAAATAGATAGTGTTTTTAGCAAGCCAAGGAGAGGAGGAGCAAGAGAGAGAGCGGCTTCACCTGGAGCTCTCGCGCCTGAAGCCGTCGCGTGAGGTTTGGTCGTGCCGGTGCGCCGCCAGCAGCCTCGGCGCCTGGACCCAGCCCGCGCCGGCGGCCTCCACGTCGGGCGCCAGGGGGGCGCTCGCCCCGCACTGCGCCGGGGTCCGCCCCGCCCGCACCTGCCGCCAGCGCGGGGCCGGCCCTAGCTTGCGCAGCGCCGTGGGCACCCTCGGCCTGCGGCCTTGAGAGAGACAGCGTCGAGATCAAGAGAGGAAGGATGAATAGAGGAGTGGGGAAGGGGAGGAAGGATGAATAGATGAGCAGGGAAGGGGAGGCGGGGGCGCGAGCTGCGGCGGCGTGGTGCGGGAGGAGTGGCGGAAGACGGGGAAGGAGAGGCGTCGGGGTCGGGGAGGGAGCCGGTGCGGGGAAAAGCGTGGGAAGAAGAGGAAGCAGAAGGCCGGATATATATCTGTTTCAATGGATCCAGATCGGTCAGAAACCTAAAGCTGGCGGATTCTGAAGAAGCTACCCCAAATCATAGGGAGGTGAACAAAAGCAGCACGGAGCAGGTAGAAGCTAGGCACAGTAGAATCCGATTGAGCAGATCTGGTCCATCGAACCCGAGATCCAACGGTAGTTTTTTTTTGGGTGACGTGGACGGTGGTTCCTTCGGGAAACCACCGCAGGCTTGTTTAGGTAAAAATGTCGTGACCCCGTCCGGGCCGTGACGCTTGAGGCAAAGATGTTTTTTCTACCTGACTCTAACGGGCAACCGTGCGTCATTCAGGTGCAACCACTGTTTTTTCTCAAAAAAAAAAGGGTGCAACCACTGTTGTTGATATAGGCTGACAAAGTGGTCTATTTCTACGTTGTGAATGCACACAAAGGGCCTGTTTAGATGCCGAAAAATTTGGCAAAATGACACTGTAGAAGTTTTCGTTGTTATTTGGCAATTAGTGTTCAATCATAGTCTAATTAGGGTTAAAAGATTCGTCTCGTGGATTTCGTCTAAACTGTGTAATTAGTTTTATTTTTTATTTATATTTAATATTTCATGTATGCGTTCAAAAGATTCGATGTGACGGGTAATCTTGAAAATTTTGATATTTTGGGAGGGAACTAAACGGTACCAAAGAAGAGGATGAATTTGCATGTCCGGTACCTATCCTTTACCCCCCCTGAACTGAAAGTATTGTTTCTACCCTGCCAGATCCAGCAGCCATACTCGAATTCCACAGGCAATGCACAGTCACCATTTATTGTACTCCCCCCCTCTGCCCCCAATAGCAACCAATTTCGAGCAAGCAACCTACTAAAAACGTGTGAGTGGAGCCGCCCAAACGACTGAAAACAAGACGTGTACTGCAACACAGAACCATGCCGTATTGCCTCTGACTCATAACGTGAAGCGAAGACCCGAAATGCAGAATTCCATGGGGTGTGTGAGAGTCATGGAACGCAGAATTCCCTGACAAAAGCGGCTTTTTAAGGAGAAACGGGAGTGTCCTGGCTGGACTACTACTGCTCTTGCAACTGCCGGTTCCGGTTTCAGTCCAAATGAAGAAGACCCTGGACAAGTTATGGCCGGCGCTCGCGGAGAGCAGACTCGCCGTCGCGCTGTTCGCCGGCCTCTTCGTCGCGGCGGTGATCTTTCTCTCCGTGCCGACGCAGTTCACAGTCCGTGGCACAAACGGTGAGCCGATCTTATATACGAATTACACGTGCCAAACCTACGGTTTCGTTCTCACTCACGGTTACGGACTTGTTTTGCGTTGTTGTCGAAGCTAGCTCTCTTGCGGGGCTCGTCGGGAGACGACGGTGCAGGTTCGCCGGCGCCGGGGGAGGAGACGAGTGGTCATGCACTGCCACCGCTAGGTGAGCTACCTTGCAGTCCAGTCGAGTTCATCATGCATGACACCGCACACAAGTCTCGGTATTCGTTTCTTCCCAATTCACCGTCTAAAGATCGATCGCTGGCAAATTTGACCCAACATTTTGCAGCCGATAGGACAGCAGAACCTCCGGTGTTCACAGAGCAGGCCCCAAAAAAGATGCCACGAGTTCTCCGAAAAAATCACTGGTTCACTCTCCATATGCACGTCTCACCAGCAAGTTCAGATTCCTAGGCATTACAGCTAAATTTCTCAGTTTTTTTCCTCCGTTTGCAGGTGAAGAAATTGCACCGGCGACGGCGATGGCAACCTCTGTTGCGCAAGTGCATCCTCCTCTGGAGCCGATCTGCGACCTCTCCGACCGGCGCTACGACGGGTGCGAGATGTGGGGCGACGCGCGCACGGCGAGTGGCGCCAACAATTCGGTGGTCTACTTCATCCCGCCGCCGCCGCAGCTGGCCACCGCGGCGGCGGCCACCTGGAGCATCCGCTCCCAGTCCCGCAAGATCGTCGACGTCCGCGAGGTGACCGTCCGGTCCCTGGACGCGTCCAGCCTCCACGAGGCGCCCCGCTGCACGGTCCGCCGGGGCGTGCAGGCCGTGGTGTTCGCGCTCGGCAGCCTGACGTCCCACTACTGGCACGCCTTCAGCGACGTGCTGGTGCCGCTCTTCACGACGGCGCGGTCCTTCGGGGGCGTGTCCAGGTTCAAAGTTAGAATTACGTTTTTTTTTCTAGACGGAGGGAGTAGAACGAGAGGCACAAAACAAAGAGGATTGCAAGTGTGATTTTTTTTCGGTACGTTGAAGTTGTGTAGGTTTTTTCCAGTACATTTTTACTTGAAGGATTTTCCTGGTACGTCAAAGTTGTTTTTTAACCGTACAATGAAATATTAGCCTTTTTTCTAAATATATCTGTGAAGGTGGATAATTTTTTAAAAACCAAAATAGATCTCACGGTTAAGGATAGTTGGAGTCTTTGACTAATGGTTAGAAGTTTTTGATTAATGTGGGAATTTCTAACATTTATTTTTTTTTCTAGCGTTTCCGGTGAGAATTAACATGGAGGCTACGTTTTTTAATTTCTCGAAGAATATTTTTCTGTACATATATCTGACCAATAAGATATTAGTTTTTTAATCAACTTTGAACGTGTACAGGAGATTTGTTCCCGTATGTTTTTTTAGTTTCTTGATGAATATTTTTCTGTACGCTGAAGTTGTGGAGATTTTTTCTAGTATATTTTTCTTGAAGGATTTTTTCTGGTACGTCAAAGTTGTTTTTAACCGTACAATGAGATATTAGCCTTTTTTCTATATATAACTGTGAAGGTGGATACTTTTTTAAAAACCAAAATAGATCTAATGGTTAAGGATAGTTGGAGTCTTTCAACTAATGGTTAGAAGTTTCTGATTAATGTGGGAATTTCTAACATTTATCTTTTTTTTCTAGTGCTTTTGGTGAGGATTAACGTGGAGGCTATGTTTTTTAATTTCTCGAAGAATATTTTCCTGCACATATATCTGACCAATAAGATATTAGTTTTTTAATCAACTTTGAACGTGTGTATGTTTTTTTAGTTTCTTGATGAATATTTTTCGGTACGTTGAAGTTGTGGAGATTTTTTCTAGTATATTTTTTCTTGAAGGATTTTTTCTGGTACGTCAAAGTTGTTTTTTAACCGCACAACGAGATATTAGCCTTTTTTCTATATATAACTGTGAAGGTGGATAATTTTTTAAAAACCAAAATAGATCTAACGGTTAAGGATAGTTGGAGTCTTTCCACTAATGATTAGATGTTTCTGATTAATGTGGGAATTTCTAATATTTATCTTTTTTCTAGCGTTTCTGGTGAAGATTAACGTGGAGGCTCCGTTGGTACCTCTAAAGTCTGAACTGTCCGCGGCCTGCTGGGCTGTCCATGCCACGCACAGACCCACCGTACGGCACGGTAATGGGGAGCAGCCGCCAAATCTACACAACACATTGAATTGCCAGGCTGACATTGCAGTAGACACACAACACATTAAAACAAGATTTTGAATAATGAGCAAAAAATTGTAGAGGTTAAGGACACTTTTGAATTGAAGAAAGCAGTGAGTGAAAATTATAAAGGTCCGAATACGCCTATGTACTTTTGCTAACCTGTGTTCACAAGACCGACGAAAAGATAGAAGAATGCATCGTCCTACTGCTTTTGAACGATATATCTATCCAAGTATGCATAACGAACTTTGTTTTTAAACGATAAATCTAGGCAAATATGCATAACAAAATTCTTTGATTTTTCGTATAGGCATTAAAGCTTACTTAATTATCTGGTCTGCCAGTGGTGTTGACTATAAGCTAACCCTTAATTAGGTTCCAGTCCCACATGAGCACGGTGCACACTGCCACGGTAGGCACACCGCGTCCACGGCCTTGCGTAAGCCAGCACGAGCAAAAGGCCACACCAGCGACTCGACAAATTAAACGAGAAATACACTATAGAAATATATTCCAAGGAAAAATGTAACGAAACTAATTTTGGATAGATGTGTTACGGCGCTGGTCCACTTTTTTCTATTAATACGCTATTTTATTAAATTACATTATAAAACGGGTGTAGAGATTTTCCTATTAGCAAAAAGAGAGAAAAATCCTAGAGATTAATTGTTTCTCTCACTAGCAGTAGACAGGCAGTAGCAGATGATGGTGCACTCACACATGATCGTGGTTGGGGTTGGAAATTGGGATGGGAGCTGACCAATTGTGTGAACCAGTCTGTCCCGGTCTCGGTTCCGGTCCGGGGCTTCTTTGGGTCTGTTGGCAACTGGGAAGCAGTACGTACTCCGTACTTGTTGCAGTCGGTGGGTGATCCATGATATGCTACGTGTACGTACTAAAGAAATTTGTTCCCTTGGATTGGACCCGGTGACTCGCTCATAGCTAACTTGCATATTGTGCATGCCCCGGCCCGTGCGCTACGGTCGCCGCGTGCGTGCATGTCCGGCGGCGGGACACGTAATACGGATATGGGTGCCACGTACGGGCGCACCACACATTTCTCGAACACCAGTCGTATGTGTAGAATGTGTACTAGATAGTGCATGTCGCGGCCAGGGGTCCAGCCCGGTTGAGCTGTTTCATCAAATTCAAAGGTTGCACGCAACTGCACGCACCAGCACCAGCACATAGATGCATGCACACGCGACGCAGGCGCATCGCACAAGCACAGACGGCCGAACGAGAGGGGGCCGCGCTGCGCTGCATTCTAATAATGTGCGTGCTTGCCCGAGAGAAAAAACCTAGACCAAAAAGGTGGCCGCAGGCCGCAGCGCAGACGTGCATGGGACGAGACGGGACCCAATGCAAGCTCATGGTCAGTGCCGAATTTTTTTTAAATAATTTTTTATGATTAAATACAAAATTAGAAGTTGTTATAAAAAAATTTGACATATACAATACTGTCGGCAGCTCACCAGCCGATAGGCATACGGCCGGCAGGACTAGGCGGCCCGTGGGAGGCCGACAGGGTACCACAGCAAAACAGTGGCCGCAGGCCGGAGCCTATCGTTGTGTGGTTTGCCGACTGGATCTGGCAACCTATCGGCACACATGCTGCAGAGACGCACTAAGTACAAAAGATCGGATGCATTATTTATTCTACTGCTTTTGAACGAAATATTTAGGCATAAGTATGGATGAAAAATACATAAAAATCAATAATTCATACATTATGAAAACTGAATATTAGAGTACCTATTATAGCTATTATTTTACAACATTAGTGTCTTTTAAGATTCTAGCCCATGCGATAGCCCATGCGAGAGCACGGGTTGATGCATTAGTCTTAATTAATTATCTAGTATTCTTGTGATGTTGACCACTATTGACCTGTTTGCACGACCCAAACGTTTTGGTTTGAAGAATCGGCGCCAAATTAACGCATCTGCCTCAAAACGTTTCTCCCTCGGAACGTTTTTATCGATTCCGACTTTTTAGCCTGCGCGAGCCAAACGTCCTTGGGCTGGTTTCGTTGGTTTCTGTCTCCTCTCTCACATGCACTAGCAATAGATTTCTTTTGTACTTATCCTTTTTTTAAATGGGGTGCATTTAGGTTGTTATTAGCCCACAAAAAAGATCAAAAAATTTTGTCGGGAACCAAATACTGGGGTACCCAAAGAGGTGGAGCTAATAACCATCAAACGTTGATGATTCTGAACAGACAAGAACGCAACTACACTTCTTGCTCATACGACCGAAGATTGGCCGCGCCTCGCCCGGCTCCAAAGGGTTGGCTCCACCTCGCCCGACGTCCGAGGGCTGGCTCCACCTCGCCCGACATCTCAGGGCAGGCTCCCTTCGCCTCGCCCGACGTCCGAGAGCTGGCTCCGCCTCGCCCGATGTCCCGGGGCAGGATCCGCCTCGCCCAACGTCTACACCCTGCTCCTTCATAATGACGAGCACAGGGTAAGACAGGACACTCAAGTCAGTCGTAGTACCGAGGACCATACCCTGCACGCCTGTAGGAAAGTACCGTCAGGATATGACAGAACGGGCGCTTTAAGCCCTTCCAGGCATGACAGAGCCAAAACAGTATTGTTGGCGCCGACTTTTGTCTTACAGTGTTGTGGGCGCCGCCATCGACCCTCGGACGCAGATCCTGACATAAGCATACGACGACCACTATGATCCAGGAGGAAACTCACATCATCTACAGTAACGGACGTATGGTCATTTCCCCGTCTGCTCCCCGTAGGGTTGTGGCTCGTCACCCTGGTGCATCGCGTCGTCCACCGGGGCAGGATGGGACATGACCATTTGCTAAACGAAGCCAGAGCATGGCCCTATCAAGATCAGCGAACATGCTATCGCTAGCACCGTCTGTCATGTCAGTGGGGCCGGCTCAGAGGAAAAGGAAGACCCGGCACCTTCGAATGACCTTCTTGGCCTCTGGTTTTTCTTCTTTCTCCCATCTGTAATCCCTGCTCCCCCTTGATTTATAAAAGGGAAGGCAGGGCACCCCACTAAAGGGGGGATCGATTCCACACACCACGCACCAGGTAACACACAGCTGAGCAGCAACCAAGCTCTCAGCACCTATTCGACCTTTCCATCAGAGACTTGGAACATGTCCCTCTCTCGACCGTTTGTACCCCTTACTACGAATCTTTCGGTGCTAATAACACGAGCAACAGCAACAAACTGGACGTAGGGACATTCTGTCCAAACCAGTATAAACCTTGTGTCATTTAACACACCATCCGGGCCCAACGCACAATAAATACAAATTTACTAGTTGGTGTTTACTCGAAAGACCGACAGTTAGCGCGCCAGGTAGGGGACCTTTGCGCGTTCTGACATTAAACATCAGGCCACGTATGCCTAGCCACGAAATCAGCTGGGTCCCGAGCGCACACGTGCGCTTCAGGAACCTAGACTTCATCGTGATGGTGAGAGGAGAGTTGGCATTGGCTCACGCTGCCATCCAATCTCTCCCCTCCATCGGCCTCTACTACGAGAGGCTTGAGTGCCAGCTCGGTGTCTCCCTAGGACCCCAGCAGTCTGGTAGGGCCAGCGCCGCCTCACCCTTTCTGACGCCAACGACATGGCGTGGTTCGCCGAAGGAGGATCCCTCTCTCTGGGACACCACATACGGAGCGCCCCGGTAGCGCTTCCGTTCGGTCTCCACAACGCTGCGGCGACCATTAGCCACCTTGTGGCATGCCGCATGGTCCTACCACCCGCGAACAATGAGTTCGTGGGGGTGATCGAACACGTCATGGAATCTCTCCACAACCCCCTCACAGAGGAGCCAGGGTCATCCTCTGGCTCTGACTCCAGCATGGGGAGCCATCACCCCTCCCGGGAATGCTTCATGATGGGTACCCCCAAGGGACACGCTGAAAGCGTCCCCACGGAGGAGGCTACCCCGGCAGGCAACCTCAGCGACGAAACCGAAGGGGAGACAGTGGCCCTACCTCGCATGGGGGTGGAGCAGCTGAAAGCTCGACAGCGGGAGATCGACGAAGCACGACTCTAGCTTGTGCAGGAATGCACGGAGCTCGACCGGGAGATCGAGCGCCGTGGAGACGGTGGGCGCACACGCGCCATGGCCCGTGATGTAAACCGAATGATCATTGTTGACGATGAAGCCCTTCCTCGCTTCGCCCGGGCAAGCCAGAACATCGTTGCGGTGACCATCTTGCTCCATGGCCTTCTAGAGGCCGCGACGCCCGAGGATCATCAGGCCCACCATGAGATTCGCACGCTGCTCAAGCGTGCGGTGGCGCAGCAGGCAGAGAGCTCGTTGTCTCGGCGATGTGAGCTCGACGCAAGCCAGCGCATGCCCTCCGGGAATCCCAACAGGGACGCATCGGTCCACCAGGCACCGCAGGGTGGCAGGCAGCGTGCCGCTGTCTCGGTGCATCAGTGTCTCGGTCGTAACCACGACGCACACAACACTCTCAACACCCGCAGACGTACCTATGGTGACCCGAGAGAAGGAGCCCGCCGCAGCTATCATCCTCATCACGGCGGACGCTACGATAGCGATGAGGACCGAAGCCCGAGCCCCGACCTGCCGGGCCCTCAAGCCTTCAGCCATCACATCCTCAACGCTGCTTTACCACCAAGGTACCGACCACCGACCAATATCCCAAAATACTCTAGGGAAACAAACCCTGGATTATGGCTCGAAGACTACCGGCTTGCCTGCTAAGCCGGTGGTGTGGATAATGATGACTTCATTATCCGTAACCTTCCACTATTCTTGGCCGATTCGACACGAGCTTGGTTAGAACACCTACCGTCCAATGTAATCCAGAGTTGGGTGGATCTGACGGAGATCTTTGTGGGGAACTTCCAGGGCACATACATGTGCCCTAGGAACCCATGGGACCTCAAGAACTGCCGATAGAAGACCGGTGAGACCCTCCGTGGGTACATTCGGTGCTTCTCCCGGCAGTGCAACGAGCTCCCTAACATCGCCGATGCCGACGTTATTGGAGCCTTCCTATCCGGGACTACCTACGAGTCTTTGGTTCATAAACTGGGATGCAAGGGCCCACGAACCACCAAGGAACTCCTAGACATCACCACCAGCCATGCCTCAGGAGAAGAGACGGTCGGAGCGATCTTCGATCGTCTCGAGGGCAAGGCAAGGCGGGACGAGGGCGCCGGTGAAGGCGCCTCCAATCATTCTACCAAAAGGAAGAACAAGAAGCAATGGCGCGGGGACTCGCTCGTGGCTGCTGCTGACCGCAAGGGTGGTCGGAAGCTCACGGAGGGCACTATAGCTTCATGCGGCAGTTCTTATCCGGAGGCTCCAACAAAGGGGAGCACAGAAAGGACCATGCCCCCACCACGGACGACACTGAGGAGAAGGATGATGGCTTTCCGACGCCAGACGGCTGCCTTATGATCTTCGGAGGATCAGCGGCCTATGATTCCAAACGTCATCAGAAGGTCGTGCACCGCGAGGTCTATACAGCCAAACTGGCCACACCTCCCTTCCTCCGGTGGCCAGAGTCCGCCATAACCTTCAATCGGACCGACCATCCGGAGAGCGTCCCACATCCGGGGAGATATCCGCTCGTGGTCGACCCGATCATCGGCCCGAAGCGACTCACCAAAGTACTGATGGATGGAGGCAGCGGCCTCAACATCTTGTACGCCAAGACGCTCGACGAGATGGGCATCGACCGGACACGCCTTCGCCCAACCCGAGCACCTTTCCACGGCATCGTGCCCGAAAAGCTGGCCATGCCACTTGGGCAGATCAATCTACCCATTACCTGGGACATCCATGCTATGCGAAGTTCATGGTCGTCCCCAACTATACATACCTAAAGCTAAAAATACCAAGCCCCCATGGGGTTAT